TCTAGCCTAGGCAACACAGCAAGACTCTGTCCTGATAACAATAATAATAACAACAAGGCTTATATAACAAAATTACATATTTAAAAAAGAGAAACTTCAGATAATACAAAGACTTACCTCAAAACAAACAAACAAAAGACAGAGATGGCCCACAAGTCAGAGAGCTGACAAAAAAAAAAAAAGCCAGGAAAAATTTAGGTCCCTTGACAATGCTGAGACAGCAGATCTCTAGACTTCTTGCTAACTAAACAATAAATGTCTTTGTAGTCCAAAGCATAGTAAGTCAGATATTGTTACTTATAGCAGATATTATTCCTGATACAACGCTTAACAGAAGAGAGGAAAGCCTAGTGTTCAAACAAAACTTAAAATAGTATTTAAAAGTATAATTGGTGAGAATTTTCCTGAAATAAAAAAAAGACATGAATCCTCAGACTGAATACTGTGGGTACTGAGCAAAAAGAAACAAATATAAATGTGTGTGTCTGTATAATTCATACCTAGATACAATATAATAAAGCTAGGGGACCAAAGATATCAGATAAAATCTAAAAGGCTACTAAGGAGAAGGCAGTCTACCTATAAAGAAATCAATTAGGCCAGGTGAGGTAGCTCACACCAAGTGGACTGCTTGAGCCAGAAGTTTGACACCAGCCTGGGCAACATGGCAAAACCCCATCTCAACTAAACGTATAAAAATTAGTTGGGCATGGTGGCATGCACCTATAATCCCAGCTACTCAGGAGGTTAAGGCAGGAGAATCACTTAAGCCTAAGTCATAGAAGCTGCAGTGAGCCGTGATTACACCACTGCACTCCAGCCTGGGTGGCACAGTGAGACACTGTCTAAAAAAAAAAATCAGGCTCAACAGAAAAAATTATCTAGCTATAAAACTTTGATACAAAACCAGAATAGTACAAAGAAAGAAAATTTCAATTTCATCTAGGAACATGTATGCAAAAGTCTTACAATATTGGAATAGAATTCTTTTTCTTTTTGGAGACAGGGTCTTGCTGTGTTGCCCAGGCTGGTCTTGAACTTCCAGCCTCAAGCAATCCTCCTGTCCTGGCCTTCCAAAGTGCTGGGATTACAGATGTGAGCCACACCACCTGGCCTAGAATAGAATTTGAAATTGCATAAAATCACGACTAACCAGAGTTCACTGAAAAATGCAAGCGTGGTTCAACATTAGAAAGTTAATTGATACAATACACCACATTTTCATATTAAAGCAAAAACACATACAATGGTCTCAACAGATGCAGAAAACCCATTCATAAAATTTAATACTTCTTCGTGATAAAAATCTGAGCAAGGTAGGGCCAGGCGTGGTGGCTCACACGTGTAATCCCAGCACTTTGGGAGGCTGAGGTGGGCCAATCACCTGAGCTACCCAGGAGGCTGAGGCAGGAAAATCACTTGAACCCGTGGGTTAGAGGTTGCAGTGAGCCAAGATCACGCCACTGCATTCCAGCCTGGGAGACACAGTGAGACTCCGTCTCAAAAAAAAAATAATAATAATAATAATAAAAATTTAAAAATCTGAGCAAAGTAGCAAGATAGAATTTTGACAGGATATCTGTCAAAAACAAAAAGCAACTTCACACTTAACAGTGAAAAACTTCAGAAGCATTCCAGTGGAAGTCAGGACCAATACAAGGATACTAGCTTATCTGTAAATGACAGAACTGTCTACATAGAACTAAAGAGAATTTCAACCAAAGCATCAGAACTAATTAAGAGTTTGACATTATGCTGTACTTAACATTTATATTAGAAAAAAATCAATAGCATTCTGCCATACCAGTTAATAACCAACTGGAAAATGTAAAAGGAAAAAAGAAAGCCCGTTTGCAAGTACCACAGCAAAAATAATCTAGGAATAAAAAATATGAGAAAAAAAACTTCATGGAGATAAGATATTTAAGATAATCAAAATTCTCACCAATTGTAGCTTTTACAATATTCATGGAATAAAAAACTTACTTGATCCATAAATTCAGCTCAGTTCCAATAAAAATCCCAATCAAGACTTTTTAAAAAGGTCTAACTGTAACAAGGGCAATTACAAAGAACAGCAATGTGTGGAAACTACTGACATCCAAAAATCAAGACTTACAGAATTCTATAATTAAGACAGTGTGATGCTAGTAAACAGAAAGTGCTCAAAACAAAACCACATATTTAGGAAAACCTGATATGACATAGAAGGCATTATAAACTAGGAACAGACTACTCAATAAATGATGCTGGGATAATTAGTTACCTATATGGAAAAAAAATTAGATTCCCTAGTTCATATTGATTTTTTTTTTTTTTTTTTGGTTCGGAGTCCTGCTCTGTTGCCCAGGCTGGAGTGTAGTGGAACAGTCTCGGCTCACTGCAACCTCCACCTCCCAGGCTCAAGCCATTCTCCTGCCTCAACCTCCTGAGTTGCTAGAATTACAGGCAACCACCACCATGCCTGGCTAATTTTTGTGTTTTTATTAGAGACAGGGTTTCACCATGTTGGCCAGGCTGGTCTCGAACTCCTGACCTCAGGTGATCCACCCACCACGGCCGCCCAAAGTGCTTGGGATTACAGGTGTGAGCCATTACACCGGGCCTGATTTTTATACAAAGTCAGTTCCATGTGTATTAAAGATATGAATGTGAAAACCAGAAGATTTAAAACATACAGAAAAACTGTCCTGATCTAGGTAGACAGGATTTCTTAACCAAGACAAAAAGCACAGACAATAAAATATGAAAATTTTGGCTATATTAAAATCAAAGGGCCGGGCGCGGTGGCTCA